GTTCAAATACATAGATATTTTTTGTATTTTCTTTTGGTGGTGCCGTTTGCAGTTTCAACTCGTGCAGGCAAGGAGCGTTGGTGTCGTTTGCAGTTTCAACTCGTGCAGACAAGGAGCATTTGGTGCCGTGTTGCAGTTTCAGCTCGTGCAGGCAAAGAGCGTTTTGCCATGCAGTTTTAGGCTCGTGCAGGCGAGGAGCCTTGTGTCCTACAGTTTAGGCTCGTGCGGACAAGGAGCTTTGGTTCGTGCAGTTTAGGCTCGTGCAAACAAGGAGCATTGTGTCTTGCAGTTTAGGCTCTTACAGACAAGGAGCTTTGGTTCATCAAGCAATCTGAGAGAGTCGTTCCTCGCAATCTTCATAGCAAGGAGCCTTGACTGAGTAGTTGAAGAAGTCTTCTGGGAAGATGTCACGCATCGTGATGGGGATGGATGAACTTCGTGTCAAAGTTTCATTATCTCCCACACTTTCACATTGTTCTGGAGGTGAACATGAGCTGTTTTGCCCCCTTTCCCATTGGTGAGCTTGTGGAGAAGACATATGCTTCTTGTGCAATTTCTTCGGAGTGACATAAGTCCATCCTTCAACTTCACTCTGCTTGACTGGCATGTTTTTGGAGCATGCCCCCAGCGATTGAGGTGAAAATTTTGAGTTGACAGAGCCGAAAGTGACGTCTTCTTCCAGGATTTCGTCTTCTTTGTCTTCTTGGGCCTTCTCTTCAGTGCGGTCCTCTTGGGTTTGTTGCTGTGAAGATTGGCCGGTGTAGATGATGGTGCGCCTCCTTACCTTCAATGGTCCTTTTGTGTCGACTTCCAAAGTTGCTTGGCGCTTCATCCTTGAAGGAATCAAGCTTTGAACATCGTCTTTTCCTGCTAGACTGTCGAGCTTCTCTCCCTTTGGCGTTGTCTTCCTGTTTCTAGAAAGCTTCTTAGTTTCTTCGAGTCTGTCCAAAGCCGACCGTTGCAGAGGAGATCTAGCTGTGCCGTTTTGTTTCTTGGGTTTTGATAACCTTTCAAAGACTGATCTTTGCGGTATTGGCGTCTCAAGCCTTTTGAAGACGGAAGTTTGGTCTCGACCACTGATGCGATCAAGTGCTGCAATTCTAGGTTTTGAATAATTTAGTCTTTCGAAGACTGAAGTTCGAGGGGCGGGTTTAGGCTCCTCTTTTGGCCTTGTGGCTTGTGGTCTTGGCTTCCTTGTTTTTTTGTAGGTCACCGATGTCCACCCTTTCTTATCACCAGTAGATGCATCTTGGTTGCTTGCCCCCGGTGATGGTTGTGTAGGAGGTGCCATGTGACTTGAACATTGACGGGAAATGGTCATGCATGCTTCGGAGATGCACAGGATCGAGTGATTCAAACACGATAGTAGTAGTGTGTGCCGCAACCGTGTCTTCGAGGTCAAGCTCGATTTCCCCTTGCTGTGCTAACTTCAGGATGAGATCTTTCAGTACGAAGCACTTTTCCGTTGGATGACTGATGAAACGGTGGAATTTACAGTATCTTGGGTTGTCGGTACGATTCATCTCTTCCGGCCGTCTGCACTCAGGCAAATTGATCACCTTCTTGTCTAACAAGTCATCCAGCATGGCAACTACATCAGAGTCGGGGAATGGATAAATCTTCTCCTCAAGCTCCTTCAAAGTGCGTCTACACATCTCTTGATCACGAAAAGCTTTTGGTTTGAAATCGCCTTGCCTCGTGTAGGGATTTTGACGAGAGCTTTGTTGATTGTCATTGCTTCCTTTGTGGATTTCCACGTAGCCTTCTCCACCTTTGTCTCAAGAACTTTGTCGTTCTTGTAGTTGGCGATCGGTTCCTTCTTCCCATGATGGGCGATGCTTAACTCCATGTCATGGGCGCGAGTGGCTAGCTCTTCGAAGGTCCGTGGTTTGATGCCTTGAAGAATGTATTGCAAACCCCATTGCATGCCCTGGATGCACATCTCGATTGAAGAGGTCTCCGAGAGCCTATCTTTGCAGTCGAGGCTTAGAGTGCGCCATCTGTTGATGTAGTCAATGACTGGCTCGTCCTTCCACTGCTTTGTGCTCGTTAGCTCTAGCATGCTTACTGTGCGGCGGGTGCTATAGAAGCGGTTGAGGAATTCTCGCTCTAACTGCTCCCAGCTGTTGATGGACTCAGGCTCCAGGTCTGTGTACCACTCAAAGGCGTTTCCTTTTAACGAGCGCACAAACTGCTTGGCGAGGTAATCTCCCTCCGTCCCTGCATTGTTGCAGGTTTCCACGAAATGTGCGACATGTTGCTTTGGGTTTCCTTTTCCATCAAACTGCATGAACTTTGGTGGTTGATAACCCCTTGGCATCTTTAGGGCATCAATCTTCTTGGAATAGGGCTTCGAGTAGAACAATGAGGTTTGTGAGCTCCCTTCGTACTGTGCCTTGATGGTGTTGGTGATCATCTCCTGCAGCTGCTGGATAGAAAGAGATCCCATGAGTGCCGCTGCTTGGTCTGGCTCCGGCTTCCCATCGATTTTCTTCACCGGGGGTTCTTCATCTCCGCCAGCTCCTCCCTTTAGTGGATCATCCTCTGGGTCGGGTTTATCGCCGTCTTGCACCTCCAATCGGTTAACTAGTGCTGCAATTTGCAAGTCTTTTTCTTCCACAGTTCGGGTTAGCCTTGCGATTGCTTCATTCATTTGAGCCAGCTGCTCATCGATTGAAATTGCTCCAATGGTCATGACTTGCATGGCTGAACTGTCGCTTGAATCGGCATCGGAGAGCATGGATTCGGAGTATTTCCTTGGGCTTTCCCCCCTTGGTGCCCTTAGTGAGGCTAAGGTGATCAAAGGTTCGTGCCTTGGGTGCTTTTGTTCCCTTGGCAGAGTTGATGCAGAGGTGAAAGAGGCGGCAGAAGTAGCTCTTTCCATGCTTCGAGTCGTGATGCCCAAAGTGACACCAGTTGCGACGAGGACGCTTTTGTTCTTTGCGCCGGTTGCGGGAACAGTTTGAGCCTTCCTTGATGCCATAATTTTGGAAGTGCGCTTGAATTTCTTGAACGGAGAAAGAGATGAGAGGCAGAGATGGTCCCACTGGGCGTGCCAATTTGTGAACACGGAAAATTCCTGAAACGAAAGAGACAAGAACAACGTGCACAAACAAAATATTTGTATTTGATGATTTTGGGTTACAATCTCTCTCTATTTTGATCCTCTGATTCAATCTCCGTAAGGTGTTGATTCGTGGATGTTTCGTTGATCCAAGGGGCGTCGAGGCTTGATCTTGGATGAACAGTTGGACGTTTCTTCAAATGGTCGTGGGCTTGATCTTTGAAGGTGGATTTGAGCGGATCTTCAAGGGCTTTTAGGCTTGATCTTGAAGAACAGTGATGAACGGATCTTCAAGGGCTTTTGGGCTTGATCTTGAAGGACGGTTGGATGTGTGGATTTATCGACGTTTGTTGATCCAAAGGGCCGTTGGGGCTTGATCTTGGAAGAACGATGAACGAAGAACACTTTCTTCAAGGGCCGTCGGGGCTTGATCTTGAAGGTGGATGATTGTTGATTCAAAGGGCCGTTGGGGCTTGATCTTGGATGAACGGATGATGAACGATGGTGCTTTCTTCAAGGGCCGTCGGGGCTTGATCTTGAAAGAGCGATGGACGAAGAACGAAGAACGAAGAGAGCTTTCTTGGTTCTTCGGGAACCTGGATGCTTGAGAGCTTCGGAGTTTCAGAGCTTCAAGGTGTAATATGAATTCCCCTTCCCCCCCAATGAATGAAATTGGGCTTGTATTTATAGAATTTTCCAAGGCCTAATTTTGAATATAATATTCCAGATGAAATAAGTCGTTTCTGCCAGGTGTTGACACGTGTCCTATTTGATGACTTTTCCAACTCATTTCAATTTTCGTTGAGTCACACGCTACGTGTAAAATTTATGTAATACATGAGCGTTGACACTTTGATATATCGGTCAACATTTATTTACCGAAATTTCGATGTCTACAGTAGGACAATATTTTTTTAAGAATCTAACATTAATGGGATGTTTTCTGCCCATTTCCTTCGAGGTCCGCTAGGTAGTATCCTCTTTTATTCAAGACTCGACTAATAATGAAAGGACCTTCCCATGTCGGGCTCCACTTTCCAAAACCCCGAAGCTGAGCTCCCAGCGGGAGGACTGTTTTCCATACTAAATCTCCTTCTTTGAAAGACTTTACCTTCACCTTCTTGTTATAAAGCTCGGGCAACAGCTATCTTTCCTTCTTGAATCTGGTTCAAGGCTTCAATTCGGGCTGCATCCAGGTCTTCAATACCTTGACACATGGCTTCGATATATTCTGCACTATGTAACCCAAATTGGTTTTGAATTCTTACGGAACTAACGTTGATCTCCATGGGGAGCACTGCATCTTGCCCGAACGTCAAGGCATAAAAAGTTGTGCCTGTTCCTGCTCTTTTAGAAGTCCTGTATGCCCACAACGTATTCCCCAGCATCTCGTGCCACTTTTCTGGACTATCTATCACCATTCTTTTTTAATAATGTTGACCAGGATCTTGTTACTAGCTTCAGCCTGCTCATTTGACTGAGGGTAGTACGGACTGGATTGGATCATCTTTATCTTGTACTTGCTTGTAAACTCCTCGACTTCTTTTGAAATAAAAGATGGCCCACGGTCCGTCACTATAGTCTCGGGCACCCCATATCTGTGCAGGATCTTGGTCTCGATAAAATTCTTGACTACGGCGGAAGTTATGGATTTTACTGCTGATGCTTCCACCCACTTAGTGAAGTAATCCGTTGCTACAATTATAAAAGTATGCCCTTTACTAGAAGCTGGATAAATTTGCCCGATGAAGTCCATCGCCCATCCTCGAAACGGCCAAGGCTTGACCACTGGATTCAAAGGCACTGAAGGCACGTGATGGAGAGGTCCATGCCTCTGACATTCTTCACAACCGCGGGCATAAGACTTGCAGTCTTTTTCCATGTCGGGCCAGAAATAACCGTACCTTCTGAGTAGCCATCTCATCTTTGTCCCTGCTTAATGTGCTCCACATATTCCCTCATGTACTTCGGCCATCACTCTCATGGATTTTTCCTGGCCTAAGCATTTTAACAGTAATCCATCTGGGGTTTTTCTTAGCAGGTTCTTCGCCCATAAGACATATTTGGTTGCTTGCTGCCTATTCTTCTTACTTGTAGGTGAAGAGGGATCCTTCAAATGATGAATGATGGGTGCCCTCCAATCTTCCATCTTGGTTTCTAGAACCATTACATCCAAACTAAATCCCCTGTCTAAGATGGAAGGAAGGTTTCTTGTTTGGATCTCGACATCTATTCCATACTTTCTTTCCTGTATTGGCACTTCTGAGGCTAGTTGCGCAATTTCATTGGCTGCTAAGTTAGACCCCTAGGAATATGATTGACTGATATCTCAGACTCCCAGAAACTCAACAATTGTGTTGCTGCCATATAGTACCCCGCCATAGTGATATGTCTGCACTTGAACTCGCCATTTAGCTGGTTTATTACCAACTCTGAATCACCAAAGACTTCTACTTCTGCTGCCCCCAAATCCAACAGGATTTCTAGACCAATAATCAATACCTCATACTCTGCCCGATTATTAGTATTTTCTTGGTAATCGAGCAGGAATGAGTAATAATGATAAACCCCTTGAAGATTTATAATCACAATCCCAGCCCCTGCAACCTTCTGAGTATGGGACCCATCGAAATACAGCTTCCAAGGAGTAATCCAGAGGCCCGTTACTCTTCTTATCTCTTGCTGGATCCAATCTTCTTTGCCCGAAACATCACTTCTTGGTGGGATCCAAACGCTAGTAACCTCCAAACTTCCCGGGATATTGATTACCTCATTTTGAGGTTCCTGATGCTCGGTCAAGAAGTCAGCAATTTCCTGGCCTTTGACTGCCCTTTGAGGTACATATTGAGAGCTGAATTCTGACAGTGCTAGAATCCACTTCCCAATCCTTCCTGCTAGCATAGGTTTTGATAACATGTACTTTATCACATCTGTTTTGGCAATGATGTGCACGTGACAAGGTAACATATAATGCCTTAGCTTGCTGGCAGTAAAATATAGAGCCAAACACAATCTCTCAACCGGAGAATATCTTGTTTCTACCTCGGTCAAAATTCTGCTGAGGTAGTATACGGCCTGCTCATTTCCACCTTCATTATTTTGGGCTAGCAAACTCCCAATTGATTTTTCCGAAGCAGAAATATACAGCTTCAAGGGCTTTCCCCTTTGAGGTGGTACCAGCACTGGTGGAGAAGTTAGGTAGGCCTTGATGCTGTCAAATGCTTGCTGGTGGGTCGGCCCCCACTCGAAATTCTCTTTATCTTTCAATCTTAGTAGAGGAGTTAGCGGCTGGATTTTGCCTGCTAAATTGGCAATGAATCTCCTCAAGAAGTTGATCTTGCCTAGTAGCCTTTGAAGCTGCACTTTGTTGGTGGGTGGAGGTGACTCCAATATTGCCCGAGACTTGTTCTTGTCCACTTCCACACCTCTCTGATGCACCAAGAATCCCAAGAAGTTGCCTGCTCTTACTCCAAATGCGCACTTCTTTGGATTCATCTTCAATTGGTGGATCCGCATCCTTATCAATGCTTGCCTGAGATCTACTAGATGCTGCTCTTCTATTTTAGATTTCACCACGATGTCGTCGATATATACCTCCATGCTCTGGCCAATAACATCATGAAAAATGGCATTCATTGCCCTTTGATATGTTGCGCCAGCATTCTTGAGCCCGAATGGCATGACCAGATACTCATATGCCCCCACATGACCAGGACACCTAAAAGCTGTTTTATGAATATCATATGGAGCCATCTTTATCTGATTATATCCAGCATTTCCATCCATAAAAGATAAAACTTTATGCTTTGCTACTGCATCTATGGATAAATCAGCCATGGGCATGGGGTACTCATCCTTTGGTGTAGCGCCATTAATATTTCTGTAATCGACACAACATCGTATTGCTTTTGTTACAGCTTTTAAAATGGGTACGATGTTGGCCAACCACTCCACATATTTGGCTAGTCTGATAAAAGCCAGCTTTCACTAGCCTCTCAATCTCTTCTTTTGACCTTTTCTTCTATCTCATTTGACATCCTCCGTGGTGCTTGCTTGACCGGTTTATATCCTTCCTTGATGGGCATTCTATGTTCCACCAAGGTTGGATCTAACCCCGGCATCTCGGTATAATGCCAAGCAAAACAGTCTTTGAATTCTTGCAAAAGACAAATAATTTTTGCCCGATCATCAACCCCTAACAAACCACTGATCTGTATTGGTCTTGGATCTTCCTCCGTGCCTAGATCAATAACTTCCAAAGGATCCTGAACTTCGGGTGATGGCTTATCAGGTTCTGCACATAAAAATTCGACCAACTCTGGGCTCTCGGGCAAGTCGTCTGGCCCATCTAGATCATATATGCACTCGGCCATTTGAATGGCCCTATCCAATTCTTCACTGCAAGATTCCTCTCTATTTCCATGCTGGCTGGTTGAAGCTTCTTCCTGCCATTCTTGCTCTTCTTGCTCCCTTTCTTGTCTTCTTCCCTTCCCATATACCAAACAGTATTTTAATCAGGGATCTGACTGCCATGACCTGATCTTTCTTCTTTTGTTTAGTCATTGATGGTGTAGGGAATTTGGTATGAGACAGGGTCTATCCCACTCCTCCTTAATAAAGAGCATTCCTTGTTCCAGAAGCTTTTGGGCCGTCACCTTGGTAGGGCGGCCGTTCTCGTCAGCTCCTGAACACTTCAAGATTCCTACATTAGGGTTGTAGAAACTTGCTTCCGCCACATTGGCTATGGGGAGAAATGGCCGTGATTCGGCCTCTACTATCTCCCAAAAACCTGGTCATTCAGTACCTGCCTCATGATATACAGCAGCCACTTGTTGATGAAGAGTGGAAGGTATGGCTAAACTTTGGTGGATCCAATCTCTTCCGAGTAAGGCTTCGTAGGTGGAGGTGCAGTCCACCACAAAAAATGCCAGCATTATCTTTTTGGATCCTAAGTCCACCTCCAAAGGTAATATCCCATGAGTCTTAGTGATAGCACCTGAGAAGCTAGAGACCGTAAGGTCCGTGGGAATAAGATCTTCCGTACCTCTCCCCATCTTCCTCATCTGCTTGGCCGGTAACACGTTAACAGCTGCTCCTCCATCAATTAAAATTCTTTTGAAGGGCACACCTTCTAAGTGAGCTGAAACATATATAGGCTTCAGATGGTTGGCCAACGAAATACTCGGGCGGCTGAACACCATCTCGTCTGTGTAAATCCTTAGAGGACCACCTTTGGATGCTTCTGAGGGCTCAGCCTTGCCCGAGTCTTCTTCTTCCGCTATCTCCACATTGACTTGTGCCATCGTTGGCTCCGTTGTTAAGTAATCACCCTCCATAGTAGCAGGCTAATCAGGTCTGGCACCAAATGTGGCGGATAATACATACGCCATGTTGATGTGGAAATTACTGGGCTCGAGCACATCCTCCTTCTTGCTCCCAATTTGGTCCATGAATTCATCTAACCAGGCCATCACATCGGCTGGAAGTAGTGGTTATGGTATATCCCTTCCTTCTGTTGTTGGTTGATCCATGCCCTCGTACAGCGTTTGTTTTGGAAATTTCACCAAAGGGATCCACCAATGGCAGAGAAAGTGGTCTTGCAACAGTTCCCATGTGAATAGGTTCCGGCTTCCACCCAGGAGTTGGTACCATGATCATCTTCTGATCAGATCTTCTTGAGCTCTTCTCAAGATCCTATATACTTCCCAGGATGTTGGCTCTGCGGCACATGATCCCCCACCCCTCTCTGCTTTGCTATTGGCTTTCTCTCCTCATGCTTACTTCGCCAACGGAGCTGGCTACTACCTCCAGATGTTGCTCTTTCCAACTTTTGATTTTTTGAGGCTTCGGAGGTAGTGGGGGTCTTCAAAGAGTTCATGTAGGCCTTGTGCTGCCTTTGAACCCTCCTGATCGTAGAGGCTTCCATCGGTTTGGTAGGTTTGGTAGGCTGTTCGTTCTTCTCGACTACATACCATTTTCGCCCGAGGTGGGCAGGATTCCCTTTTCTGCCGGGATTAACTATCTATCCATCAGTTCTCTTGACTTCCCCCTCCATCTGGCCATTCTGAAGATGATCTGCACCTCTCTGGATTTTGGCCTCCATTTTCTGCCTCGTCAGCAAGAAGCTTCATTCTGGTTCGAAACACTTTCTGACAAAGCCTTGGGTTGGGAATCACCTCCTAAGCGTTGAAAAACACTTCGGGAAGTATCCTTCTTTGTTTCCTGCTTACTCTTTTCGCGGCTTTTCTCTTCTTTGTATCTTCTTCCTTCCTCCTGATTAACTCGTGATCAATGAGGACTCCAGCCGAGGGAACCTTGAGCTCACATTCACACTGGCATTTACTACACATAACACATAACCATCCCCTTGATTATGGCAGCCTTTGGATATACTCGGGCAGTTTGATTATTCTCTCTGTAGGTTTTTCGGCCAGTCTTTCTTCTTATTCCCTTGTAATCTTCCCTTTTCCTTTCTCCGCCCATGTCATATTGAGCATATTTATAAAGGCCTCTTAAGAAGGGAAATGCAGGGTTGATTACGACCATCTCGTCTGGCTGGCTGTTTCTACGGTTTCTACGTCTTTTGCCTTTGGGAGGAAACCACATCTATATCACTTCTAGAGCCTGTGGAGGCTTTCTCCAATCTTTGTAGCATTTGAAACAACGTGGTCTATAAGTCTTCTGGCATATATGTTTCTCTATCTTCTGATTAGAGATCCCACCGGGCGTGCCAAAACTATGTTCGTGGCAGGAATTCCCGTTGAGGATGTTTTCCTGGCCGACGAGCACACAGCCTCCCCTGGAGGTTCGGCGCCGGTTGAGGGCTGCTGTCGGGCTTCTGCTTTCCTGTCGGGCTTTGTGTCGGGCAAGTCTCGTCGGGCAAGACTCTTCGGGCAAGGCTGAAAGAGAAGGACATCGTTAACTTTGAGAGGTGCCTTTGTGGGGCCTTAGGTGTAGGCCTTGAGGCTCACAATCAAGGTTAACATTTTAGTGCTCAGGCGTGCCACTGCCATCTTCAGCATGGCAGATGTCGAATGGATGTCAAGTTTTAGTTGTGAATATTGCAATATGCATATGCCCGAGAAACCGTGTTAGATATAACATGTGCCTTTGTGGGGCCTTAGGTGTAGGCCTTGAGGCTTCCTGTCAAACTAAACCAGTACTTGAGCATATTATATTTGGTCTTTTTATGGTTGTCGGATTGAGTTTATAATACTATTATATTTCTGATTATCCGAGTCTGAGAGGTAGAGCGAACCCAAATAGGTGCCTTTGTGGGCCTTAGGTGTAGGCCTTGAGGCTTCCCATTAGAGTCTGTTCTTATACTCAAACCATCTAGACCGCAGAATAGAATGAATCCAAATAAGTGCCTTTGTGGGCCTTAGGTGTAGGCTTTGAGGCTTCCTATCAGAATCCATTTCCATACTTAAGCGTTTTATGATAATCATGATATAATAGAAATAAAAACCAAGAGGTAGGTCGATTACTTGCGCCCCAAGTAACTTCGGACTTTCTCGTTTATCAAGGATTGTCGTGGATGGGTTAAGTCCACATAATGTTCTTTTTTATTATGCCTTGAGGCCAAGGACTTTTTAAACTAATCAGATTTACATGCCTGAGGGCTTAGGACTTGGATCTGATTTTAAACACTGAAGATATATTCAAATCGGATCCAAGTACTGAGAAAGCTTTGTCATTTCTTGATTTTTCTTGATTTGCTAGAAAACAACTTGCATATAACTGGAAATATACAACATATTGCTAGACTTTAAAGAAAGAGAAGACAAAGACAGAGCAAAGCAGGTCGGGCAAGATTAAACCTTATCAATTAAGGCTGATTGTCTTGCAGCACCAGGTCCCTATCTTTTGTAGTTCTGTCAAAGGTCTGAAAGCTTAGAGGGGAGAGGAGGGGAAAGGAGAATACAAAAGGTGAATCGATACTACAACAAGTTCGAACAAGGTAGCAGAGCTATTACAGAGGTTGGGAGAAAAGATTATCCCGCGGGGGGATGAAGGCTTGGGCTGATTACTGCTTCGTTTTGAAAGGCAAATCTGGCTTTTTGAGCAGAGTTTGTGCTTTTGTTTGTTTGATTGAGTGTCTCTATTCCTGTCTTCTCTTCCTCCTTTTTATAGACGACTCGGTTTGGCTCCTGTAGTACGCGACAGCTTTGCCCGAATGCGGTCTGAGGGTGATGACTCATCAACTTTATTACATGTAATGCCACCATAAAGTACTTTATGGGCTGTGCAGTCTGATCAGTCTACACCACTTGGTCCTTGGGTAGGTAGGCAAGTGGCCCTTATGAATTGTATCAAGTCAGAAAAGGCTCTTTCCTGCTTTCCCAAGTTTCGGCCGGGCCTTGATCTTCTATTCCTCCAGGCCTCCTTTTGGGCCGACTCCATCCTTGGGCCAAAAAATCAAGTTTTAATCCAAACAAGGAGTGTGAAGGAGACTGGCTATTGAAATGGCAAAAGAAACCTAACTTATGTCGTGGTAAATTGAAGGAATGGAGCAAAAGAAAGTTTAGACGGAGGAGGCTGCAAATTGAAGAATTAACGGGTCAGTTGGGTGTGCTGCAAACGAATTGGAAGGAAAATGTTGAACAAATTCAGGCTATCTCTTTACAGCTTGATAGATTAAGGGAGCAAGAAGAAAGGCTGCAATGTGGTGATGCTAACACTTCTTTCTTTCACCAGTCCACTGTGCAGAGAAAAAGACAAAAAAAGATTATGAAGATTAAGGATGGTAATGGGCAGTGGGTCGAGAATGCAAATCAAATAAGGAAAACATTTGAGGAGCATTATAAGTCTTTGTTTGTCTCGGATAGGCCAAGAGATTGAGGTTCACTTCTTGATTGTGTGGATTAGAAGGTGACAACGGAGATGAATCTCACTATCACTTGTTCGATTATTGATAGTGAGATTGAGGATGCAGTATTTCAAATGGGGGGTATGAAAGCACTTGGGCTAGACAGATTTCAAGGCATATTCTACCATTGCTACTGGGATGTTATTTCGTAGGAGATTAAAGGAATAGTCAACGATTTTATGAATGGGGAGGTTTGCCCCAAAAAATTAAACTCTACACCGCTTGTCTTGATCCTAAAGGTTTCGAATCCAGAGTCCGTTGCTCAATTTAGACCCATTAGCCTGTGCAACTTTTGTTATAAGGTACTCTATAAAATTCTTGCCAATCGACTTAAACCACTTTTACCAACGTTAATTTCTCCAATGCATAATGCTTTTGTTGCTGGCCGGCAGATTCAAGATAATATTTTTGATTGCCCATGAGATTTTCCATTTCATGAAACTACGAAGAACTAAAAGAAAGTTTGAATTGGGTATAAAGTTGGATATGAATAAAGCTTATGATCGTGTGGAGTGGGATTTCTTGGAGGAGGTTATGGTTAAGATGGGGTTTGATCGAAGATGGATTGATTTAATTATGAAGTATGTGGTCAATGTTAACTTCTATGTCGTAATCAATGGTAGACCTGGCAGGAAATTTCTTCCTTCACGTGGGCTTCGGCAAAGGGATCCTCTTTTACCCTACCTTTTCTTGTTTGTAAGTGATGTTATTTCTTTGCTCATTCAAAAAGCTATGGATTTGAATTATATTGAAGGAATTAAAATTAGCTCAAATAGTCCAAGTATATCGCATATGTTCTTTGCGGATGATACCTTGATTTTTCTCCAAACCAATCAACAAAATTGCAAGAACATTGTTCAGATTTTAAATGCTTACTGTGTTGCTTCGGGCTAGCAAGTTAGTGTCAATAAATCAAGTGTGTACTTTAGTGCTAGTACCCTAAGAAATGTAAGGGAAGAGTTGGGTGCTATTTTGGGGATGCGAATTGTTGATAACCCTGATACTTATCTTGGTCTGTCAACAATTTGGGGTAGGTCTAAACGCCAAGCGTTGGGGTATATCAAGGATCATTTATTAAGGAAAATCCAGGGTTGGAAACAGAAATTGTTGTCACATGCGGGAAATGATGTACTTATTAAAGATGTTGCCCAAGTTGTACCAGTTTACCTATTGAATATTTTTTAAATTTCTTGTAAGTATTTGCAAGGAATTTGACACTCTTGTGGTTGGGTTTTGGTGGGGACAAAATGTTGATGATAAAAAGATCCACTGGGTGAGTTGGGATGTCTTAGGCTTGCCAAAACAAGAGGGAGGTTTGGGTTTCAGGAATTTGCAAGAGTTTAATGGGGTCATTATAGGTTAGAGTTGTAAAGGCAAGATACTTTCCAAATTCATCATTTCTGGAAGCTAAAAAAAGGAAGCAGGGCTTCGTGT